CCTTTTGCTCCTTTGTCAGACAAAAGCCTTCCGAAGAAACTTACACCAAGACAAAAAGAAGAGAAAAAAGTTATTTAAAAAACCCACACACAACTTAAAACGAGAACCTATCTTTAAAAGACAGGAGTAAGCAGAGGCATAAAACGCCACATATTGGTTAATCAGTTTGATCCTTTGGGCTAATTTAAGGAATGGCATGGGAACTGAGTGTCAGTCAATATTTTCTGCATCAATTAATTAATGTTCCAGTCCCACTTAAAGCAATGGGACAGAATGTTCTTTCTGACATTTGTTAAGCCACTGTAGCTTTCCAGAAAGAAAGAAAAAGGCAAGAATTCCTGAAATGGGCCTCTTTCTTCGTGGTCTTTGACTTTTGACATGATTTCAGGATTTGCAGGGCCAGCACAGCCGCTTAATCCTCTTTTCTCTCCCCTCCCTTCTAATTTGTTAATTCTTCTCCAGATGAAGAGCTCCGCTTCAAGCAACATTGTTATTGCTCACTCTTTTCTTCTTTTCCTAAAGATTCCACTTATATGGACTGAATGGAGTCTCGTGTCTTTGCAGTAGTAACCTAAACTTTAGGTTTATTTGTGCATTTATAAAAGTTACACTGAATGAGCGTATTGCACTCTTATTGACCCAACTGTCGACAGATCAGTCTGTAACTTTTGTTATAAGCAAAACACGTTTATAGTCTTGGCTAGAATATTCCCAGAAATAATGAATCAGAAGTATTGATTTGTTTTAAGCAAAGCACAGCACTGACTGACAGTTATTTATAATATCTTTTTTCAGGAATGTTGATGAATTCATTCTTCCATTTTTATTTTTACTTTTTTGGCATTGGATCAGATTCTTGAATTTGTACTTTGTTTTACTATGTTGACACATTTAGTGGGCGAATAAGCCGTCATTCTGTGATCAGTTTGCATTTTGGAACAGAGATAGTCTAGAATATTAATTTCATTTTTAAAAATGCCACAAATGCAACGAATGTAATGAACTGGTATCTTTCCCCCCCCCCTAATTTATTCCTGTAGGCGCACCAGACGACAAGACATCCGAAATGGAGACCCTCTAACTCACTGCTCAGACCTCCAGCATCCAGGTGAGTTATAATTTATTAGGCACACACACACACACACACACACACACACCGAGAGAGAGAGAGAGAGAGAGAGAGAGAGAGAGAGAGAGAGAGAGGGGAGGGAGAGAGAGAGAGAGAGAGAGAGAGAATGCCTGTAGCTCACAAGACTGTACAAGGTTGGAACCAAATAGCATATCAGACATTTATTTATTTATTTATTTATATTTGAATTTATATCCCGCCCTTCTCCCGTAGGACTCAGGGCGGCTGACAATCTATTTAAAATACATACAAAACAATACAAATTTAAAATTAATTAAAAAGAATATTAAATATTTGTCGAATTTAAAATATAATTAAAACCCCCCTAAAAATTACCCTAGGCCAGTCCTGCAAGC